ATTAAGTCATTTACTTTTTGACATTTATTAAACAAATGTTCCAAGGGCCTATGAATCAAGGTAATTAGTCTTCAGCAACCCATGTTTGTTGTTAAAGGCGACTAACTGGATCTGGCAGTCAGCTGTATTGACTCATACAATCAGGTTAAAGTCAAAGCGTCCGCTCGTCATGCAGAAGACCCGGGTTCGATTCCCCACATGGGTACAAGGTGTGATGACCATTTCTGGTGTCCCCAGATGTGATATTGCTGGAATATTGCTAAAAAAGTAGTAAAGCCATACTCACTCACTCATACATGCCATCGTAGAATCCCTGTTGAGCAGTCGGTGGATGTCTGATTCCGTCTCTGATTTACACATCGCTGTTAACAGCGATATATTGCTAAGTGTGACGTTATTAAAAAAGCAGAGACCATATACGTTCTCTGACAAAAGAAACACATTCCTCCCGAACATGATTCTGACACGCCGATACAACTGGATATTGTTCGGGATGGCCTAAAAGTCGGGCCAAGAAAAGTCGGGCCGGGCCGGGCCATACTAAAAATGGATTGCAGAATATTAAAACGAAACCTGCACATTTGGGTCGATACACTTCCTGCCTTCACAAATGCATAGTTTGAAAATGTATAGTTAATGGTGAAAAAACCCACACAACAACAATGACTACATACCGAGATTCCCGTAGAAAAGACACCGTCTTGTTGTTATGTGTTTTCCTTGATATGTCTATGGGGGAAGGTTGCTTACTTCTCTTAGCGTGTGACATCCGGGGGTCCTGGGCAGGAAGTGACAGTGTTTTGGCTGCTTTTCTTTCCTTAATTAAGATATTGGGGTTCCCTAATTAACCTTTATCGTCTCAGGCTGAATCAGCACAGGATGTTTATGTTAAAGAGACGTGGATATCGGCGAGTGTCAATGGGCAAATATGACATGATTATGTATATTAAAAGAAGTATTTGAAATCACAAACACAAAAATTCTTATGTGTTTTCATTGTAAACAATACCGGCGCGTATGCATATGCTTATTTTTACTAATACACATGAAACACAATGGTATTATATCTACCTAAATACCACTTCATAAAGTAAAGTAAAAGTGAAGCCCATTTCTCTCTCCATTCCCAACGATTTAGGAAAATAAAGTCCTCGGCAAACAAAATCCGCAATCAAAAGTGTTCGGCCCGACTTCGTCCGGGCTGTCAAAAACAACCTAAACCTCACACATGTATCTTGAAATGTGTTAATATCCATAGATTAGTATTATATCTACCTACATATCACTTCACAGAGTCTCAAAGCGTAGTATTTGAAGCAAAAACGTTGCTGAAAGAGAAGCTCTCTTTTCTACATATTCTCAACAAAGACACAGTATCACAAGCGTTCGGTCCGGCTTGGCCCGGGATCTCAAAAACAACTTAAACCCCACAAATATGTCCTGATTTGTGTTTAATTCCATAGATTAGTATTATATCTACCTAAATATCAATGTGTGATGTTACAAAATGCCACATGTAAAGAAAACTGCTCCGTTAAAGTGAAGCCCTTTTCTCTCTCCATTCACAACATAGCCTCAATCAAAAGTGTTTAGTATCTGTTCGGCCCGACTTGGCCCGTGCTGTCAAAAACAACCTAAACCTCACACATGTATCTTGAAATGTGTTAATATCCATAGATTAGTATTATATCTACGTACATATCACCTCACAGAGTCTCAAAGCGTAGTATTTGAAGCAAAAACGTTGCTGAAAGTGAAGCTATCTCTTCTACATATTCCAACAAAGACACTGTATCACAAGCGTTCGGTCCGGCTTGGCCCGGGCTCTCAAAAACAACTTAAACCCCACACATGTATTCTGATTTGTATTTGAATCCATAGATTAGTATTATATCTACCTAAATATCAATGTGTGATGTTACAAAATGCCACATGAAAGATAACTGGTTCGTTAAAGTGAAGCCCTTTCCTTTCTCCATTCACAATATAGTCTCAATAAAAAGTGTTTAGTCTCTGTTCAGCCCGACTTCGTCCGTGCTGTCAAAAACAACTTAAACCTCACACATGTAACTTGAAATGTGTTAATATCCATAGATTAGTATTATTTCTACGTACATATCACTTCACAGAGTCTCAAAGCGTAGTATTTGAAGCAAACACCTTGCTCAAAGTGAAGCCCTGTTTTCTATACATTCTCAATAAAGACATTGTATCACAAGCGTTCGGTCCGGCTTGGCCCGGGGGCTCAAACGCACCTTATACCTCACAGATGTATCTTGAAATGTGTTTAAATTCATAGATGTGTATTATATCTACCTAAATATCACCTTGTAATGTTATCGAATTCAACATGTAAAGATCAGATGATTTGAAAATAGGCTGCTACTGCCCAGCTCGGCCAGTTTTATATGGATGCATTTGGAGAAAGTTAGGCGAGACACTGTGGATTTAATGAAAACATACTTCTCCCACTTCTCTCTCTAATACTTCTATTGTCTGTATGCGTGTTCAGGAAAACAGGATTATCAGAAACGCTTGAAGTTTACAACATCCGGCAACGGCATCTCCGAGTAACCTCTGGCAAAGCTCTCACAGTGAAAACAATGTTCTCCCGAGCCTGAGCTTGGCAACACAGTGTCATTGCCGTGGATGTGTTTTCATACTTTCGTATGTTCAAATTATATAAACATAACATCTCATACGGCAAGTCATTTTAGCTGATACCTTCTGATATTTATTAAATGACTGATATGTTCAAATCATGTCATGAATAGCTGCAACCGGCTATCTATATCTCTACTAGTATGAATTGATGTTTATACTGTGGAAACTGTACGGAGAACATCCTGTATTCTGAACCACTAAAAAAAACCCCACCTCTTTCAAGCATTTCATGTCATATAATTGGGTATAATATCTTCTGATATTTATTAAGTTAATTATATGTGTAAATCATATCACGAAAATAGCTTCAGCCTGCCATCTGTATCGGTATTAGTATTATACTCTGGAACATGTACGGAGAACATTCCATACGCAGCATAACACGAGTGGAAGCATAAATAATTATATATATATAATTGAACACTGGGCTTCACTTAAAGCAACGTGTTAGATTCAAATACATGTACAAAGCTTTTAGCCTCAATAAAGAGGTATTTAGGTAGATATAATACCAATCTATTGCTTTAAACACATTTCAAGATTCATCTGAGAGGTTTAAGGTGCGTTTGAGAGCGCGGGCCAAGCCGGACCAAAAGCTTGTGATACTGTGTCTTTGTTGAGAATGTACAGAAAATAGGGCTTCACTTTGAGCAAGGTGTTTGCTTCAAATACTACGCTTTGAGACTCTGTGAAGTGATATGTAGGTAGATATAACACTAATCTATGGATATAAACACATTTCCAGATACATGTGTGAGGTTTAAGTTGTTTTTGACAGCACGGGCCAAGTCGGGCTGAACAGCGACTAAACACTTTTGATTGAGGCTATGTTGAGAATGGAGAGAGAAAAGGGCTAACTTTAACGAACCAGTTATCTTTACATGTTGCATTTGATAACATTACAAAGTGATATTTAGGTAGATATAGTACTAATCTATGGATTTAAACACATTTCAAGATACATCTGTGAGCGATAAGGTGCGTTTGAGCGCCCGGGCCAAGCCGGACCGAAAGCTTGTGATACTGTGTCTTTGTTGAGAATGTATAGAAAATAGGGCTTCACTTTGAGCAAGGTGTTTGCTTCAAATACTACGCTTTGAGACTCTGTGAGGTGATATGTACGTAGATATAATACTAATCTATGGATTTAAACACACTTCAGGATACATGTGTGAGGTTTAAGGTGCTTTTGAGAGCCCGGGCCAAGTCGGGCTGAACAGAGACTAAACACTTTTGATTGAGGCTATGTTGAAAAATGAGAGACAAGGGCTTCACTCTAACGGAGCAGTTATCTTTACATGTTGCATTTTATAACATTACAAAGCGATATTTAGGTAGATATAATACCAGTCTATGGAATTAAACACAATTCAAGATACGCGTGTTACGTTTAAGTTGCTTTTGACGGCTCGAGCCAAGCCGGGCGGAAAATTGTGGCCGAGATAATGTTGGGAGTGTGGGGAAGAGATCGTATCATTAAAATGTGGGCATGCTTTTAACACGATGAATAGTGAATTTATGGGGTGGTATGTGATTGGATATAGATGTAAAAACATTTTCGGGCCAACGGAAATGTGTATCGGAATTGGCTGAAATATTTATACGTTTTAAATCCCGTTTCGTTTAACGATTCCACTTTTAGACGTAACCTCGGTCAGCCAGTTCACAGGCCTCTCGTCTTCCTGGATTTTAGCCGATTTACTCGTAATAATGTTATTATGGTACGCGTTTGTGGCTTCCGATTGATCATTATTATCATGAGTGTATGTTGCATTGATTAATTGTAGGCATGGTTGTCGTTAATGGGTTTATTAGCCAATAATAGATTTGGCCCGCCTTGGCCCGGCCCGGCCCGACTTTTAGGCCATCCCGTAGTTACGCCCAATTCACGCTCTTATTCCAAACTTTCACTATCACTTTTAAGAGAAAAAGACCATAATCACCACCTTTAATGATATACTCATGTGTATATGACTACAACTGAGAGATACAATTTGTTCAAAACGGTGTAAAACTACTCAATGAACATGTATAGATACAATGATTGTTAATACCTTTGGTGAGTTACAATACATTATGTAACTATGTACAGAGTAAAATGTCGAGACCTGGAGCCACAGGCGAGATGCATTGCGATTATTTGATGGTGGTGATGATGATGATGAAGATTTGGAGATTTAACGTGCGCTATACAATACGTATTTCGCACACGGGCGACTATTTCCTAAAAGCACTTTTTATGTACTATTCACTTTCTTGGCTGAAAGAAAAAATGAGAACTCCGCTCAACGCTATGTCGTACTAACGCTGTGAGGAGCGGTTGTGTCAAATTTGTGGAACGTGATAAAAATGGTGGGAAGAGACAGAAATATTCACAGTATCGACCTTGACAACTGGCAATAATCACCACAGTGGCAAGAGGTTATTTGTTCTAAATGTTACACGTTCACAATGTTGTCGATATATTCACAACACTGCTTGATGTACAGATTATCAACATCAATAGAGTAACATTCAGCAGCTCAAGGGGTGAGCAAATTAGCGGTAAATTTAAAATCTCGAAAGATGTACAGGGTTGAAATGTTGTAGATCTGGATCTAGATCTAACCTTGAGTTTGGCAGCCTGCATATACATGTATACTATAGGCTATATATCATCGGATCATATGTCTTCGACATCATATGTTTTAGGATGACAGTGCTTACTTGAGCCGTGACGAGGAGAAGTTGCTTCACTCAGACATAGTAAATTCTTGAATGATGGCTTGTGTTCACTGTTCAGAATAAAGTACCATTGCTTAGTAGTTGTCATGTTTCATGTTTACAACGTTAACAGTGTTTTCACTGGTTTGTCTCAGGAAATGGGCAGATTAGATAAATTCCTCAACCCCAAAAAGATGAAATGGTATGACTTAAACATATGTTATGGCATGTTGGTAGAGCTCAGGGTGCCGTTGTACAAAACAACCTTAGCGCTAAGACTACCTTAAGTCTATGTTAAAGTATAGGAGTTACGGTCACCTTAGCGCTAAGATCGCTTTGTACAACGGCACCCTAGGCCATAAGACTCCTAGTTTAGGCTGGTTTGGGTATATTTTTGTTTTCATTATTTATAATATCTCTGTCAGCGATATTTAGTTTTGTGTGACAAGCTATAGACAAAAGCAAAGACAACAGTAAAGCTGGAGAGGTAAAAACAGTAACATTGTAATTAAAACATTTGTAGACAAGTGGACAGTTGTTGTCACAATAGTTTTGATTACTGCAGTAACAGTTCTGAATCAGACATTCACGTGGGACTCATTTACCTGAGACCAAAATTAACCTTTGTGATTATAATGCTGTAAATGTTATGGCTCAAAGTTATGTAAATCTATGAAAAGTCATTGTTACCTGCTGTATCAATATACTATCAGCATTTGCAAATGCAGACTTACATTGTCCGGTAACATGCAAGTGTCCCCAGCAAATAAATCAACTGAGGAAGCACCTGCGCCGATGCAGGTTTGATTGGCAGTGTTATGAGGCAAGAGAGTTATCTCCCTTCCCAAGCTCTCCCTTGTCATTTTGCCTTGTTGCGCGAATCGGTGTGTGTTCTGCTTGAGTACGAATAAAACCCATAACAAAGCGTTCTTTTGTGTCCCTTCGATTCACAAGTGGCACAGTACCTCCAACCCCAAACTGGTGCTGACAGTCTCACATCTGCCGATAATGTTGGCCCCTGATATATCCAGGGGTGTTAAGCGTAAACAAAACTCCAGTGATGGAGTTAGTCAAATAAACATAATAATATTATTGAGATTTGATAAAGTTAAATCAAAATTGAATCATTCATCATTTATCTGGTTCTGTTGAATGTATCTGATACTGAGTACTTGTTATGAAACTTGCTAAACAAGTATTTATGTTACCTTTTTGAACCAGTGACATTCTTTTTATTGTGCTACTCAAATATTGATGGTGCAGCCAAACTTATAAGACAGGTTGCACTTGGTGCAGGTACTGAAAACACACAAACAACAAAATTGCACCCTGCATGTTTACAGACCTTAGATGAGACTCTGTGTTTACACAGGATCCATAAAATATGAATGTCGAACACATATCCAGCCCGTCAATCAAACAAGATCAAGCTCTTAGTTAGAGTACGAATCAATGTAATGAAATAAATTGGACCTGGTTATCAAATATATTCATAACATGTTTACCACTATTGGTTTTGATTATTTTAAACATAATATGAAAAAAGGTAAGTAAAAGTATTTTAGTTGATTAACACAAGGCATTACTGATATCATGTGGATAAAATCATGCATAAATCTGCATACCTGGGGTGTAATCAATATGTTTTTGAATTTTGGGACGTTTGTTCTTTACAACCTTATCAATTCTATTGATATCCAGTAGAACTAGAGATCATAATCTATACTTTTGTCATGTGTAGTGGAGTACTCAAATAAGTCTTGGGTTTGTATCAATGCAGCAGAAATATAAACTGTTATGCTTATTTATGGAACAATAAAAATGTACCATTCTCAGCTAAACCTCATTGCCGGAAATATATGTAGGAATTAATTATTCATGTGACCTGGAAGGCTGTTGTCTGGCCACAGATTTAGTGCAGATTTTGGTTAAGTAAACTTTTTATTTCCTAATTGAGGTTGTTATCATCACGACATAATGTGGTTAGGGGTCTGCCTGCCCATTCATCTATCCGTCTGTCCATCTGTCAGTAATTATTATTTTAAAACCATTCTAAATGTTTCAGTGAAACCTGGCAGATATATCATAAATAGGCCCTGATGTGGTGCGTTTTGTTTTATGTTTTTTAGCAATTTTATGTTTACCTGTTTCCATAGAAACAAGGTAGACTTATCAGAAATGGAAGTGGGTGTTGTTCCTGGAGCAGAACTGAAAAAGCATTCAACATTTTCCAGCCAAACTTGGGACATGTATTAATCAGGGGATGAAGTGGCGCCTTCTGCAATTTAGGAATATTTAGAAATTACCTTTTTGCCTGTTTCCATGGCAACACGTTTGATTTTGACTCTGGTCATATTGGTGTGTTTGTCCAGACCATATCTTCCAAACTAACATGTATTCATTCATGAAACTGTTAGGGCTGGGATGATGCACCGATACATTACAATACATTTAAGTTTGATACAGCTATTGTATTGTCGACTGGTGTATCGATACAAAACGATACACGACTTTTTTCAAAACAGTATTCTCCTAAACATGTTAAAGTACTTTTTTAGAGAAAAATATGCAAGTATGATAGAGTTACTTGTTTGTTAATTACAATAGTGTTATTGTTATACACAAATACCTTGAAATAAATCATTTTAAATCTTAATACTGTGTCATTCTTTCCAGGTGTATGTATCGTAATATGTATCGTATCGCAGGTAAAATATCGTGATACGTATCATATTGTGACATAGTGTATCATCCCAGCCCTAGAAACTGTGATATGTAATGTTTCAATTGTTAACTTTCAGTTTTCCTACTATTCATAACCACTGTGATCTTTGATATAAACTAATCAGACATTTCAAATAATTAATTAATTGGTCAAACGATGAAGTTACTATTCAAATAAGTAAATTCTTGAAAATACACTGAACATAAGGACACAATTTATATGGTTATGGTCAATGTTTGATTAGATAAAGCAAACTGATAATAATGATTGATCAAAAATATAAATTAAAATGATTCCCAATATCAATGACACAATCTACAGAGCTACAGATAACTTTGGGGGTCATTGAGTTATGTACTCGCTTGTGTTCATCTCAATTGGGTATCCTAATTTTCCTTTGAGTAACCAAATAAATTGTACCAACCTCACTCAAACTCAATTGGGTATTTTTCCAATTTCCATTAATTGTGAAAAATAAAGTTTAAATGTTGGTTAACTGGTTTGTTGTTTATTTGATCTGGCATGTAAACAATAAGAAACACTGCAAGTTGCCAAGTTCATGTACTGAAATAGAACCTCTCCATCTTCCTCAGTTATTTTATCGATCCCCAGGCACCCAAGCTAAGGTTTGACATTTTAGTGTGTGCGCATGTAAGATCAAATTTATTGAGTATTTACAAAAATTCAAGGCTGCTTGTACGCAACAGACTTAATAGGAATTGAGTTTTCACATGAATATTTGCATAATTTACTCCGATACGCAGCTTATCTGTACCTCTGAATCAAAGTATTACTGTACAGCTACAGTTTCTGAGCCTGAGTGAAACATACCAAAACAAGATGGGTGCTCTGTCCAATGTGATGACAACAGTGGATTCAATTCCAAACATCAATGATATTATTCTGTTTATTATTCTGCAGATAGTTTCTGATCCTAAGTGACACGTCCTTGAAACAAGATGGCTGCCATGTCCGATGTGATGACCACAGCTGATGCCAGCGTTATCCTACAGATCAAGTAGGTTCTTTAGAATCTAACTACAGTAAACTATGGTTAGGACAAACTCAAAAGGGCCACTTAGTTCTTTTGTTATATCCATAATTACATGCATTTCGTCTAAGGTATACAGCAAGTGGACAAGACAAAAACAACTTTTTGTTATGTCCATCAGTTCACTTTATGTGTGTTCATTATAAACATGGTTTAAAATAATTAGTACCCAGACACCAACACAGGTTTCTGGAAAAGGAGGGGAGCATTTCATGATCAGAAGTTGAATGGGAGATAATTATCATCGTAAATGTAAATGGTAGTGTTGGACTATGTGAACACTTGGTATGTCCAGTCACCTATAAGCTGTCACTAATAACTGTGTATCCCATAGCTGATAAAGGCGGTGGGGTGGCCTAGTGGTTAAATTGTTTGCTCGTCACGCCAAAGACCCGGGTTCGATTCCCTACATGGGTACAGTGTGTGAAGCCCATTTCTAGTGTCCCTCACCATGATATTGCTGGAATATTGCTAAAAGCGGCTTAAAGCTATACTAAGCTATACTCACTCACTCCCATAGCTGATAATATTTCTGTCTGTATAGGTGTAAATGATTCTGACCTATGTAACATATGTTATATTTGAGATTACACTTTCTCAGTGAAGTACACATTCTAGTACTTTTTGGGGTTGAGTCCCATCTGGGCTTCGAACCCACACCCTCAAAATCAGGCACCTACAGCTTGTTCAGCTTGACCTGATCAAGAGAATATGTATAAATGAATTGCGTGACTGTCACAACTGGTTAGGTCTATTATTGTGAAGGGGTGCACCTGTGTCAGATGATTGGTGTAAACGAGTGGACTGATTGTTGTGCCCATGTTGAAAATTTGGAAAGCGACTACTGGGACAGAAATATTGCAGTTGAACATGAAATAGAAAAAGTGATAATTGAACTGGGTGTAGAGAGTGATAGCGAGAGTGAATCGGATTGTGAAAGCAACTGACGTCTGTAAGTTGTAAAGTTAGCAAACCAAACTAGAAAGCATATGGGTGACTGTATAAACAATTCAATTAAAACATGACATGATTGGGTATTTTTCAGAAGTGTTGTTTTCCGGGACAAATTCTGTAACAAATCTATGTATACATGTTTCGCACGAACGCAACATTAATAACATCCTGTGCACCCATATTTAATGAAGATAACCCGATCTGCCGTTTGTGCTATTTGACCTTCCGGGTCATGCATATGTAGAGTAGCTCAGGTCAAGCTGAACAAGCTGTAATCGCGAGCGCACAAAGTCAGGTATTTAACCGGATCAGCTATGGCGGCTTCTACAAAATGGAAGTTGGACAACTGGTGGTGTAGCTCATGTACTTTAAGTACCCCTCTGATAAGTGTAAGTTTGCATGGCTCCCTATTGCCCACTCTCAAAACGTGAGTTATCTGTCCTTGGCGACCGCTATTAAAAACATAATGCGCATGTGCTGGTCAACGCGTATCTACTTCCGGGAAGTGTCGCGCCAGTGCGGCAAATGTCAAGAATGCCGTCAAAACAGCGATACTGTTGTATTTGTAGTAATCATTGTAAGAAATTTGCGAATGGCCGGAAGATCACTATGCACAGATTCCCTGCAGATATACGACTGAGAAGGGTTTGGATTCAAAGATGCAAGCTTGTCCGTTCCAACTTCAAATACACAAGAAATGACAGCACCAGATTATGCTCGAACACTTTTACGGTGAGGGGAGGGACCGAGGTAAGCTTCATCCTTTGCCAACTGTTTTCCCAAAGAAGACATTCAAACTTTCGGTAAGATTGTTTGTGAAAAATTTAGCTTAAAAGCAGATGGTATTTCAGTATTATCCATCAAAGTGATAAAGCAAGGCTTAGGAGGTTAGTCGTATCGTGTATCATGTAGACTAGTACACATACAGATCAAGAATTGAGATAAATTTGACTTTATTATGTGAATTCCAAATGAAATATGAAATAATTACGTGCATGTTATTAGAACAATATTGGTAAGTTGGTAACCTTATTCCTTTCAATGAATCCATCCAAACATTAGCATTGCAAAAAACGGTTTTAATTCCTTCATGTCATTATTATTTTCTAAATTCTGGAAAATTAGTTGACATTTTCCCCTGATTACTGCATACATTTCCAAAAAAATGACAGTTGATTGGTGATCATTTTATCTTCTTTTACAGAATGTGTCCCATCTTGTCCATGGAACTACATGTGAGACCGATTTGGATCATGGTCTTGGTGAGAACATGGATATTGATGATGTTAATGAGATTGCTTTGCATATGGAGGATACAAGTATGTGTGATGTGTCAGCAGAGAAATCAGATTCACCTGCAGGACTTTTATCAAGACTTGAACGTTCCCTTAGTCACCATGACTACTGTGGTTCCCAAATGTTGACCAGTCTCTCTGTGAATAAATGTACTCAAACATTTTCGGAACCTGTTACATCAGCTGGAACTCAGACATTTGACAATGAAATTATCTATTGCAATGCAAGCACTCAAACATATGATTCATTGATGCACAGTGTTGGTATTCAAGTTGACAAACCAACATTGACCTATGAGGATATCAGGTGCTCTGATGAAAGTGTTATGTTCTACACTGGAGTTCCAGATTCATCAACATTTGAGGCTTTGTTTGATGAAATGTATGATGATGAGCAGGTTTACTCTGACACATCTGATGGTGGGAGACCACATGCTTTGAGGCAGATAGATGAATTTTTCATGATTCTAATGAGATTGAGATTAGGACTGTTACTAGATGATTTGGCATACAGATTTAGAATTTCACGTGCAACATCGCGGCAGACTCTGCAACAAGTGGTTTGACTATTTGTATGTTCAACTCTCGTTTTTGGTGCAATGGCCAAGTAGGGAGAATGTTAATGCAACAATGCCAGATTCATTTAGTACAAATTACCCAACCACTAGAGTTGTCGTAGATTGCACAGAGATATGGACAGAGACACCTAGTTCACTTCAGCTACAGTCACTTTTATACAGTGACTATAAGTCACATATGACCTACAAGGCTTTGATTGGGATAAGTCCAGCTGGTGTTGTAACATTTTCTTCAGATTTGTATTGTGGTAGTATCAGTGACAAACAGATCACCAAACTTAGTGGCCTTGTTGAATTGTGTGAGGAAGGTGATGCTATCATGGCAGACAAAGGTTTTCTCATCTCTGATTTTACTACACCTAGAGGTATTGATCTAATCATTCCCCCATTTAAAACTAAAAAGCAACAAATGACTCAACATGAGGTGAATGTAACCAAGAAAATTGCCAGTTTGAGGATTCATGTTGAGCGACAAATGGAACGAATTAAAAACTTTCGCATCTTACAAGGTACTATTCCCATCACAATGGCTTCCCAGGTAACAAAAATATGGCATATATGTGTTTGTTTGACAAATTTGCAACCACCTCTTGTTCTTAAATGATATAAATTTGAATGAATTTGTTCGGGTTTGGAGTACATGTAACTTCAATGATTTGCAGATTATTTCTTGAAATGTTAGAAGACTTAAAAAAACTTAAACATAATGACTTGGTGAATTATTTTAGTTTGTTTGACATAGTCAGCCTTTTTTTAGACCTTCATTAGGCCTGCAACATATTTTTCAGACATTTTTCACTTTGGTCTCTTTGAAACGCTTTAGGAATATTTTGATAACGGTCAGGTAACCCCCTGTTATTACAAGCTACTAATTATTACCTCAAGCCCTGTTCTGTTAGCTGTACTCACTCCACTGCAACTGGATTAACTACTACTATTAACTAACTTGTTAGGTCAGGTGTTGGTTGTGAGTAGGTGTCTAACAGAACTTATAGATAGGTATAGATAATAGAGCATCACTGCTCAGTGATCATTATTGATCAGTAGATCATCACTGTTGCTAATAATTGACAAAACAAATACGAAGATTCTATATTTATTTACATTCACAAATATATTAATTCCTGTTTTACACAACATCCGCATTGTCCATCATATGTACAATGACACACAGGTATATATTGTCAATAAGAACATTTACATTTTTTACAAGAAACCTATTTTTTTGCTTTATCTGTAGTATGTGAATGCCATTAGAACATTACTATAAAGCTGACAAATTTGTAGCTTTATTGGTAGAGCATGTCATTCAACAAATGTAATATTGACAAATGTGTTAAATACTGAAATAATAGTGTGCTTGAAAATGTGCCTTTCTTTATTTTTATTATACAATGCACCAGTTATGAAAGGATGTGAACTGTGAACAGTTAACCTTAAAGGGAGATAATTTAGCAAAACTACTTTGTAGTGCGTTTTCAGTTGTGGCAGGTTTTAGTGATGCTCTAGGTATCCATATGCAAATACCAAATTGTGATGTTTCATATTATTAACGTTTGTCTTTACAACATATATACTGGTACAGAGGCCTCAATACTACAAGAAAGATTTCACTTGACTCTGTAGCACTGAATGGTTCAGGAAGTTCCATAAGTATATTATCTCTCTAGCTGTTAAACAGCTATCCATGTTGTTGAAAGTGAGTCAGTATTGATCTGCACACAGTTATCAGTTCACCAATAAAATAATTTTAGTGATCTGTTTGTGTTTTGTTATATATACATATTTAAAAACACTACTAATTGATCTTCAAAGCTGATAATTATTATAAGCCATCAAATAAGATGGCAAAAGATTTTAAGAACATTTAGCATGCAGAATAAAGCACTTAAATACAAGGGATGAAGCAATTTAGTTACAGACAAGTCTGTTTCTTGTGTCATAGTGTAAGTGATTTCATGGTACTTGCTTTCACTGTAAATGTACAATAGGAAAAAATATTTATATTTGGTTATATTCAAGCACTTGAACCTACTCAGTGGATTGGTATTCTGCACATGCTACATTTAATTCAAACACTCTTTTGAGAACTTTAGGCAAACATTCTAGAAATATGCACTTGTCATTTTCACCTTGTGTATTCAAACACTTTTCAAGCAAGCATGAACTCTTTTTCATTAAACATTGCCATACTGTTTCAACAATGAATGTGAACTGGTCAGCACAGGCAATCACTGATACATTTATAGGAACACTTGAAATCTTATTTAATTATACAGTGGAATACCCCTTTTCACTCTTCTTGAGAATAATTCTGGAATTACATTAGTCAGGTAAAATTTGTTCAACTGGGGCAGCATGTCATTCCAGACTTTTTCATCAAATCTGATTCTGTCAACAGTCCACCCATTCAAAGTCCAAATCATGAAATCACACCACAGTCTTTCAGTAATAGCCATTTGACCCTGAATTTGGTAATAATATCTATGAGACCTTTTAAGACGAACACGGTAATTCTCATCTAGGGAACAGTAGAATCTAGGATCCTTGGCACCTCCTTGGGCTCCATCCATTTCCAGTCACAGCGTGCAGGACACTTTATCTCAAGAACACCACCAGTATGTCCATCATCAGTCTGTATCAAACCATCAGGGCTAGCACCAAGGTGTGGATACTTTGGATTAACAATAAGGCCACATTGTTCCACACAGACACAGTTCTTGTTTGCTGTTTGATAGACCTTGCGTGCTGCAGGTTCATGACTGGTTCCCCATTTACAAAAAGTAACATCAGAAATGTGTCTGTAGCCACAAATATCTTTAAGATGATTATCTGGCTTTGTGTCACTGCGCATCAACACAACATCTCCAAATTTAGAAGAAGTAAGTCTTTCACTTCTTGCAGCTAACCATAAGTCGTTTTTATGCTGACCTCCTGTTAATGTCTCGATACAATGGGCATCTTCCTCTGACACATGCATACAATCAAATAATACCTGCATTTTTTGCTGACAATCAGTGGAATGAAGATCTACATGGTCACAATATGAAAAGGAAATGTTATGAAGGGGAGGCAGAGAGGGTTTCATGTTTGATGGCGTAGAAGTGTCTGCATAAAACTTTAACCAGGCAGCATTGGAATGCTTACTTTCAAGTTTCTGTTTAAATCTCTGACAGTTGACAATGGGTTTAATGTAAGCTGCTTTTTCATTACCAATCTTATCACACTTCTCTGAATTTGAACAATTTTCTATCACTGCTTTCCTTTCATGTAGAACAGAAGATGACTTTCTAAAATTAACATCTTGTGATCTTTTGGACTAAGTTTCCTCTTATGTGGGTTATTCCACTTGCATGGTTGGGATGTGCATGATGTAGTACCGGCTTTCCTCCTTGTTGTCACATCAACTAAACAGTGGCACAGTGCTGCAATGTGATTGCAAGCCTCACCAGCCCTGAAATATGTATATAAAAAATAAATAAATTAGGAACAAATCTCAAATTTTGTTTACATCATGATTATTTGAAATCTTTTCTTCATACTATTTACTAAGAAATGAATTCTCATGCTTATGAGTACAAATTATATGTTACACATATCCTGGGCACTGTTAAGGTTTGCTTGCCTTGAAATTTATATCTCCTGGTGGGGTGTGGCTGAAGAAATTCTTTATGGAGGGAGCAGAAATATAAGGTATAATATTAAATAAGAAAAAGACAAAGAAGGACCACTTACCCAGCTGCACAAGTGCAGTCTGCAGAGTGAATCTTGCCTGTAACCTTTGACAAACAAATCCATGCAATGTGGTCTGGGCATTCTTTCTTGTTGCTCGTAGGCAGTGATGGTATGACTTTGCATCGCATGCGATGGCATGGCTACATACGCCTGAGACGGGCTAAACTCAAGTGAATGAACATGTCTGTCTTCAAAATATACGAAAAGACTTATGCTGTGGCTTCACGTTCATGGTGAGAACAAAGTAGTTATAGACTTCAGTCTCTGAAAAATCAGGAATGGCACTAGTGTCCCGTATCCAGACTGTGAGATTGTGCGGATCAGGAATACTCTCACGCCGGGGTGTTATCAACTTGTTATGAAGTGGTCGAAGTCGGTAGATTTGCAAGCTTTGTCAGCTTGCATTTGTTGGATAACAAAGTCTGCTTACCCCTTTAAGCCCTCTCAACAAGCTCAGACTTCTTACCAGTAACATATTGGCCATGATCGCGGAGGTACGCTTTCAGCTCTGTAACTTTCATGACCTCTATCTCTCGGTCACCAAGCAACGTATCAACAGACGCCATTGTTGCTTAGTACGTCCCGGAAGTTGGAGGTGTTTCGCGCCGGAGTAAATAGGAAGGGAGATAACTCACGTTTTGAGAGAGGCCAATAAATATACAATGAAGGGAGATTTCGAATCCTGGATGGCACTCTATCTTATGACACTACCAGAATATGTACTTTACTGAGAAAGTGTAATCCCAAATATAACATATGTTACATTTGACCACTTTCTAAACGGCATTGTGAGTCTGACATGCCAAGTCAAAAATTTCCTTGGTACTGTCATTGACAATTTTGAATTAAATATTGACTCACTTAAGCAGCAGAAGTAGAAATGGCTGCATTACTTTTGGTGTTGATGATTACTGAAATTTACAGATGACTTGCATCAGGGCTAATTTTTCTGTTCATGTAAATATTGCTGATGTGACGATAAATTTTAACTCACTCACTCACACACTCTGTCCATGTATTTTTTTTAGGTTTGATTGACTACAAACTATATTCTATGCGTATTGTTCATGCTTTTCAGAGATAAATTGCCAAAGGGATTTCTTATCAACCTTGTTGGCAAAATAACAGCAGTCAGTGAAATCTTCAGGTATGATGCTTTGCTTTGATTGTGTTATTTTGTTTATGCCTATAGTGATAGGATGATGTTACTTCCTTCTGGTGAGAAATGGATTTGACATATATTGTACATGTTTACTGTTTTCACGACCCAACATCTTAAACATTGCCACTGATCTCAGTTTACTGTGGGATTTCCTCATGAATTCCCTATTGCGTAGATTGATGGTGGGATTTCCTTATGAATTCCCTATTGCGTAGATTGATGGTGGGATTTCCTCATGAATTCCCTATTGCGTAGATTGATGGTCAGATTTCCTTATGAATTCCCTATTGCGTAGATTGATCGTGGGATTTCCTCATGAATTCCCTATTGCGTAGATTGATGGTGGGATTTCCTTATGAATTCCCTATTGCGTAGATTGATGGTGGGATTTCCTCATGAATTCCCTATTGCGTAGATTGATGGTGGGATTTCCTCATGAATTCCCTATTGCGTAGATTGATGGTGGGATTTCCTCATGAATTCCCTATTGCGTAGATTGATGGTGGGATTTCCTTATGAATTCCCTATTGCGTAGATTGATGGTGGGATTTCCTCATGAATTCCCTATTGCGTAGATTGATGGTGGGATTTCCTCATGAATTCCCTATTGCGTAGATTGATGGTCAAATTTCCTTATGAATTCCCTATTGCATAGATTGATGGTGGGATTTCCTCATGAATTCCCTATTGCGTAGATTGATGGTGGGATTTCCTTATGAATTCCCTATTAAGTAGATTGATGGTGGGATTTCCTTATGAATTCCCTATTATAAGAGATTGATGGTGGGATTTCCTTATGAATTCCCTATTATATTAGATTGATGGTGGGATTTCCTCATGAATTCCCTATTAAGCGTAGATTGATGGTGGGATTACCTCATGAATTCCCTATTATTAGATTGATGGTGGGATTTCCTCATGAATTCCCTATTATGTAGATTGATGGTGGGATTTCCTTATGAATTCCCTATTAAGTAGATTGATGGTGGGATTTCCTCATGAATTCCCTATTAGTAGATTGATGGTGGGATTTCCTCATTTAAATCCCTATTTAAATCAGATTGATGGTGGGATTTCCTCATGAATTCCCTATTGCGTAGATTGATGGTGGGATTTCCTTATGAATTCCCTATTGCGTAGATTGATGGTGGGATTTCCTCATGAATTCCCTATTGTGTAGATTGATGGTGGGATTTCCTCATGAATTCCCTATTGCGTAGATTGATGGTCAGATTTCCTTATGAATTCCCTATTACGTAGATTGATGGTGGGATCTGATGGTTTTTCTGATGTTATGCATGTTGTTCAGACGTAGTGCTTGGTGTATAGCTGCTTTTCTTGTTTCTTTTATTTTTCAGAGTGAAGAAGGATTTGATATTCTTGATTGAATTAGACAGCATCATCAAGATAGTCGTAAAGGTAAACAAGTTCAAGTTGAGATGGGGCGGTGGGGTAGCCTAGTGGTTAAAGTGTTCGCTCGTCAAACTGAAGACCCGGGTTCGATTCCCCACATGGGTACAATGTGTGAAGCCCATTTCTGGTGTCCCCCACTGTGATGCCGCTGAAATATTTGCTAAAAGCGGCGTAAAACCATACTCACTCACTCACTCAAGTTGAGACACAAGTAATAGTACTTACTCAACCTTAACTTTTGACGTGAAATAGTTAACGTACACATACACATTCTTACTGTGAAAAGATCATAGTTTAGTTAGTGTGAAATGTTGAGTCAACACTGTAGACAGCAGCAGATGACACTATTCATTGAACAGTTGTAGGAAAAACTAGAAAACGCAGTTGTTTAATAGCACTGAAACTCATTCCTTCATGACAATGAATTGTCTAATGAGTTGTTTTTGGAAAATGGACTTCTTGTTAGGCAAAGATGTGTAGGTTTAAAACCAAACTGAAACTTCTCTCTAATCCTTCAAACATCCTTTCCGATCTTTAGCCTGAAAAGACTTAAAAACATAGCACTTAGCATCATTTTCAATAGAATTTAGTTTTATCATATGTACCATTGTTTGTGGAGCTAACTGTTCCAAACAGAGTTTTACTTGGGGCAACACTATTTTGAATTAGTGACTAATGTGTCATCTTAGAGGGAGAATATTCTTCTGACCTCTTGGTAGTATGCTTATATTTGCCACTATCCATAGCAGGTGCATGGACCCAACACATTCACTAATACTGATGGTGATAACATATGCTACTCAACATTTGTTAAGGGTCATTACTTTGACAAAACACTCTTAGTCCTTAGCAATTGTGGAATAGTATATAAGGACAAGCCCATATTGAGCCTACTAGCCCTCGGGATACCTGCCAGTGTATGTCCCTGTGTTTGAACATGGTGGTTGTGTGTTGTGTCATGCCTATTGTGTAAATTATTAATCAACAGGACTCACACTAATCGATCACATTTGCGTTAAAGAGTATTGCATTAATCTTTTATGATATTTTGAGAATGGTTTTATTGCTGTTTTATTCATTTATTGAATTTCTGTACTGCTGCAGTTCTCTTTTCGAACTTGATGAAATCACTTTAACTCAAATGGCCTGAAGCTGTCAAAGGATAAAAAAGCCAAATTGGAGAGAATTTTAATATCAACACTGGTTCCAGTTTCAGCTCACCTGACTTAAATGCTGTTTCTAATAACAATACTAGTGTAAAGCACACAACCCTGTGCACTTAAAAGAACCCACGAATCCGTTGGTATATGACCAGATGGTGGCCACATGAATGGGTGCAACACCTTGTTGCGGGTACAGCAACGTGCAGTAGACTTGGACAAAGTACTGTCACTTTGTGTCCCAGTCCACCCAGATGTGAATGGGTACCTCATAAGGATGAGAAAGCCGGAATAACTTGGTGCGCCTAATGGCTGCAAGAGTTAATGATCCCCGGGGAGTTGAGATTGATAATACGATGTACCATTGAGACTGACATCCAGAGTCGAGGGAAAAAATACCAGCGCCTTGAGCTTGTACTAGTTGCTTGTATATGTGCGCTATATAAATATCCTATAATTTGTTCACTATATATATATCTAATTTGAAGTGGGGTTTTAACGTACATACCATTCTTCATCCTTATTGTAAGTATTGACATTTGCATGTTGTCCATACCTATGGATTCTTTATTCACTGACATGGTATTTTCAGCAAAAGCAAAATCTTGTCTGGCAGGAGCAGATAACTCCAGAAGTGGAATATGTCATTACCAACTTGAGAGCCACAACACTGCAGAAGGTGATATATATTTCAGTAATGGTGATTTACCGACATTAAGTTGGTGGAATAAGAAACAAACAAACAAACGCCATATTTCATCTGCCATATAGAATAGTATTCTTTTGTGCCAAGAATTCATTTCTTATTATCATCGGAATGCAGAACTGCCAAAGTACAGGATATTTAGCATGTGGTCCTTAGACTGATGTCATATGATTCAATGTTTTAAACACCCCACTTCAAAAACTGCACCAGAAATTACTGTGATGCTTATAGTCAAACGCCTCTTTTGAGGGCATGGTGTTACATATGCTTCAAACTCACTGGGATATTCTTGTTTTGCTATTTATGTCACAAGTCTGGACATTTTCTTATTGATAGTAATTTCCTCTGCAGGGTTCGACGTCCCAGGTGAGGGTGTTTGTTCCCTGGAGTGGAAGCTGCCTGTATGAAGCTGAAGCTGTGGAGTACTCCCCAGTCACCCTCCAGGTACTCAGGCCCTGTCACCGCTCTAGTTAGTTATTGGGGGCACTGGTGGTGCTGTAGTACTCAGGCCCTGTCACTACTCTAGTTGGTTATTGGGGGCACTGCTGGTGCTATAGTACTCAGGCCCTGTCACCGCTCTAGTTAGTTCTTGAGGGCACTGCTGGTGCTGTAGTACTCAGGCCCTGTCACCGCTCTAGTTTGTTATTGGGGGCACTGCTGGTGCTGTAGTACTCAGGCCCTGTCACCGCTCTAGTTGGTTCTTGAGGGCACTGCTGGTGCTGTAGTACTCAGGCCCTGTCACTACTCTAGTTACTTTTTGGGGCAACTGCTGGTGCTGTAGTACTCTGGCCCTGTCACTACTCTAGTTACTTTTTGGGGCACTGCTGGGGCTATAGTACTCAGGCCCTGTCACCGCTCTAGTTGGTTATTGGGGGCACTGCTGGTGCTATAGTACTCAGGCCCTGTCACTGCTCTAGTTAGTTCTTGAGGGCACTGCTGGTGCTGTAGTACTCAGGCCCTGTCACTACTCTAGTTACTTATTGGGGGCACTGGTGGTGCTGTAGTACTCTGGCCATGTCACTACTCTAGTTACTTATTGGGGGCACTGCTGGTGCTGTAGTACTCTGGCCCTGTGACTACTCTAGTTACTTATTGGGGGCACTGCTGGTGCTGTAGTACTCAGGCCCTGTCGCTGCTCTAGTTGGTTATTGGGGGCACTGGTGGTGCTGTAGTACTCAGGCCCTGTCACCGCTCTAGTTGGTTATTGGGGGCACTGGTGGTGCTGTAGTACTCAGGCCCTGTCGCCGCTCTAGATGTCCCCTACCGCAACGCGGAACGGGGGACTATGTATTCAGCGGCGTCCGTCAGTCCGTCCGTACGTCCCAATTCTTGTTAACCCGATATCTGATGAACTGTTGTACCCAATATCTTCAAATTTGGTGACAGCCTACATTGGGAGGTTATGCAGACACCAGTCGATTTGGGTGACCTTGACCTTATTTTCAAGGTCACCACGACACTTTGACCACTTTTCAAACTCTTGTTAACGCGATATCTCGTGAAATGTTGTACCCAATGTCTTGAAATTTGGTGACAGCCTACATTGGGTGATTATGCAGACACCAGTCATTTCAGGCATCTTGTATGTGACCCCCCCCAAAAAAGTAGTAAATAAAGATATTCCATTCTTTAGCGGCGGGGGACATTGCCATATCAGTGGCAAACACTTGTTGGTTATTGGGGGCACTGCTGATGCTATAGTACTCAGGCCCTGTCACCGCTCTAGCTGGTTATTGGGGGCACTGCTGGTGCTGTAGAACTCATGCCCTCTCACCACTCAAGTTGATTATTGGGGGCACTGCAGGTGTTGTAGTACTCAGGCCCTGTCACTACTCTAGTTACTTATTGGGGGCACTGCTGGTGCTGTAGTACTCTGGCCCTGTCACTACTCTAGTTACTTATTGGGGGCACTGCTGGTGCTGTAGTACTCAGGCCCTGTCACTACTCTAGTTACTTATTGGGGGCACTGCAGGTGCTGTAGTACTCAGGCCCTGTCACTACTCTAGTTACTTTTTGGGGCAACTGCTGGTGCTGTAGTACTCTGGCCCTGTCACTACTCTAGTTACTTATTGGGGGCACTGCTGCTGCTGTAGTACTCTGGCCCTGTCACTACTCTAGTTACTTATTGGGGGCACTGCTGGTGCTGTAGTACTCAGGCCCTGTCACTACTCTAGTTACTTATTGGGGGCACTGCAGGTGCTGTAGTACTCAGGCCCTGTCAGTACTCTAGTTACTTTTTGGGGCAACTGCTGGTGCTGTAGTACTCTGGCCCTGTCACTACTCTAGTTACTTTTTGGGGCAACTGCTGGTACTGTAGTACTCTGTCCCTGTCACTACTCTAGTTACTTATTGGGGGCACTGCTGGTGCTGTAGTACTCAGGCCCTGTCACTACTCTAGTTACTTATTGGGGGCACTGCTGGTGCTATAGTACTCTGGCCCTGTCGCCTCTCTAGTTGGTTACTGGGGGCACTGGTGGTGCTGTAGTACTCAGGCCCTGTCACTACTCTAGTTACTTATTGGGGGGCACTGCTGGTGCTATAGTACTCTGGCCCTGTCAGCCTCTCTAGTTGGTTATTGGGGGCACTGCTGGTGCTGTAGAACTCATGCCCTGTCGCCACTCAAGTTGATTATTGGGGGCACTGCTGGTGCTGTAGTACTCTGGCCCTGTCACTACTCTCGTTACTTATTGGGGGCACTGCTGGTGCTATAGTACTCTGGCCCTGTCGCCTCTCTAGTTGGTTATTGGGGGCACTGCTGATGCTGTAGTACTCTGGCCCTGTCGCCACTCAAGTTGATTATTTGGGGCACTGCTAGTGCTGTAGTACTCTGGCCCTGTCACTACTCTAGTTACTTATTTGGGGCACTGGTGGTGCTGTAGTACTCTGGCCCTGTCACTACTCTAGTTACTTATTGGGGGCACTGCTGGTGCTGTAGTACTCTGGCCCTGTCACTACTCTAGTTACTTATTGGGGGCACTGCTGGTGCTGTAGTACTCTGGCCCTGTCACTACTCTAGTTACTTATTGGGGGCACTGCTGATGCTGTAGTACTCAGGCCCTGTCACTACTCTAGTTACTTATTGGGGGCACTGCTGATGCTGTAGTACTCAGGCCCTGTCACTACTCTAGTTACTTATTGGGGGCACTGGTGGTGCTGTAGTACTCTGGCCCTGTCACTACTCTAGTTACTTATTGGGGGCACTGCTGGTGCTATATTACTCAGGCCCTGTCACTACTCTAGTTACTTATTGGGGGCACTGCTGGTGCTATAATTACTCAGGCCCTGTCACTACTCTAGTTACTTATTATGGGGCACTGCTGGTGCTGTAGTACTCTGGCCCTGTCACTACTCTAGTTACTTATTGGGGCACTGCTGGTGCTATAGTACTCAGGCCCTGTCACTACTCTAGTTACTTATTGGGGCACTGCTGGTGCTGTAGTACTCAGGCCCTGTCACTACTCTAGTTACTTATTGGGGCACTGCTGGTGCTATAGTACTCAGGCCCTGTCACTACTCTAGTTACTTATTGGGGCACTGCTGGTGCTGTAGTACTCTGGCCCTGTCACTACTCTAGTTACTTATTGGGGCACTGCTGGTGCTATAGTACTCAGGCCCTGTCACTACTCTAGTTACTTATTGGGGGCACTGCTGGTGCTGTAGTACTCAGGCCCTGTCACTACTCTAGTTACTTATTGGGGGCACTGCTGGTGCTATAGTACTCAGGCCCTGTCACTACTCTAGTTACTTATTGGGGGCACTGCTGGTGCTGTAGTACTCTGGCCCTGTCACTACTCTAGTTACTTATTGGGGCACTGCTGGTGCTATAGTACTCAGGCCCTGTCACTACTCTAGTTACTTATTGGGGCACTGCTGGTGCTGTAGTACTCTGGCCCTGTCACTACTCTAGTTACTTATTGGGGCACTGCTGGTGCTGTAGTACTCTGGCCCTGTCACTACTCTAGGTACTTATTGGGGCACTGGTGGTGCTATAGTACTCCTGGCCCTGTCACCGCTCTAGTTGGTTATTGGGGGCACTGCTGGTGCTGTAGTACTCAGACCCTGTCGCCGCTCTAGTTGGTTATTGGGGGCACTGCTGGTGCTGTAGTACTCTGGCCCTGTCACTACTCTAGTTACTTATTGGGGGCACTGCTGGTGCTGTAGTACTCAGGCCCTGTCACTACTCTAGTTACTTATTGGGGCACTGCAGGTGCTGTAGTACTCAGGCCCTGTCACTACTCTAGTTACTTTTTGGGGCAACTGCTGGTGCTGTAGTACTCTGGCCCTGTCACTACTCTAGTTACTTATTGGGGGCACTGCTGCTGCTGTAGTACTCTGGCCCTGTCACTACTCTAGTTACTTATTGGGGGCACTGCTGGTGCTGTAGTACTCAGGCCCTGTCACTACTCTAGTTACTTATTGGGGGCACTGCAGGTGCTGTAGTACTCAGGCCCTGTCACTACTCTAGTTACTTTTTGGGGCAACTGCTGGTGCTGTAGTACTCTGGCCCTGTCACTACTCTAGTTACTTTTTGGGGCAACTGCTGGTACTGTAGTACTCTGTCCCTGTCACTACTCTAGTTACTTATTGGGGGCACTGCTGATGCTGTAGTACTCAGGCCCTGTCACTACTCTAGTTACTTATTGGGGGCACTGCTGGTGCTATAGTACTCTGGCCCTGTCGCCTCTCTAGTTGGTTACTGGGGGCACTGGTGGTGCTGTAGTACTCAGGCCCTGTCACTACTCTAGTTACTTATTGGGGGCACTGCTGGTGCTATAGTACTCTGGCCCTGTCGCCTCTCTAGTTGGTTATTGGGGGCACTGCTGGTGCTGTAGAACTCATGCCCTGTCGCCACTCAAGTTGATTATTGGGGGCACTGCTGGTGCTGTAGTACTCTGGCCCTGTCACTACTCTCGTTACTTATTGGGGGCACTGCTGGTGCTATAGTACTCTGGCCCTGTCGCCTCTCTAGTTGGTTATTGGGGGCACTGCTGATGCTGTAGTACTCTGGCCCTGTCGCCACTCAAGTTGATTATTTGGGGCACTGCTAGTGCTGTAGTACTCTGGCCCTGTCACTACTCTAGTTACTTATTTGGGGCACTGGTGGTGCTGTAGTACTCTGGCCCTGTCACTACTCTAGTTACTTATTGGGGCACTGCTGGTGCTGTAGTACTCTGGCCCTGTCACTACTCTAGTTACTTATTGGGGCACTGCTGGTGCTGTAGTACTCTGGCCCTGTCACTACTCTAGTTACTTATTGGGGCACTGCTGATGCTGTAGTACTCAGGCCCTGTCACTACTCTAGTTACTTATTGGGGGCACTGCTGATGCTGTAGTACTCAGGCCCTGTCACTACTCTAGTTACTTATTGGGGCACTGGTGGTGCTGTAGTACTCTGGCCCTGTCACTACTCTAGTTACTTATTGGGGCACTGCTGGTGCTATATT